TACTTTTTTCTTAGTTTGGACGTGGTTGGGCACACTGAACAGAAGATTCATTTAGAAGTGGATTAGAGACATTTACATCTAAATGCTTGGTGCATACTAATAAACCCATACAATTTTGGTATTCTCTCTACGAGAGAACAGCTAAGAAAAGGCAGCTAAATGGAGAAGATGTTCTAGATCTCAGTTACTTATTAATGAAGCTTTTACTGGAAATTCTTACTCAGAAGTTTATAGGAGTTAATTATTTGCCAATCATTTTGGAGCAGTTTTAGACTTACATCTTTCCAAATACAAGTGAATTCATTAATGTGCTTTTTAAATGGCTACTTGAAATAACTTTAGCTTTTCTATTGTGAACTTCTTAGACTTTCACATCTTTTTTATCTTTTCACATAAGCTGATTTTGTGTTGTCTTAATTGAGTATAAGCACTATAAGCAGTATAAATGAGGAGTAGGGGCTTAGTTTCCTAGGTGTACTTAAGTGCTAGGTTTTCCTGAATTTAGGTAGGAATTACATGACTGCATAAAGTACTTCATACCCTCTATTGTCCTTATGTCTATTAGACCTTAAACGTATGCTAAACATACTCAGATTTTGATTTAGAACTTCAGCTCTCTCATTAAGGATAGCTTATACTAATATGTCTATTCTTACGCTTCTAGTACAGCTTTGAAAAAGTTCCCTTAGCGTTATGTAGGGTACCTGCAAACTCCTTGAGCCTGGATTGGCATTATTCACTTATGGAGTCTGGTTTCAGCCATTCATTGCCTCTAGCAAGTATCAGGTTCTTCATGTGCTAGAAATACTGTGTGGGAGTGTTTGAACACATGTATGTGTGTGTGTGCTCTGTCTCTCTGTGTACGTATCGGGGGTGTGTGTGTGTATATACAATGCAGTATGAATATATCACCTTGTGAACTGCTCAGTTACTTTATTTCATTCTGCAATGTTTTTATATTGTCAGTATCATTAGATTTGCTGATACTGTTCAGTCTGCCTCACCTGGGACGTTGGTAAGGCAGTGGTCCCAGATGCTATTCCATCAGCCTTCTTCCCTCAAAACTAAGCTTTTAAGATGCACTGTCCTGCTCTATTCCTTCTGTATTCATAGGCAACAAAACTTTAAGGAACTATTTTAATGGAAGGGTTTGGCAACTACTTCAGCGAGCAACTGAAAACCTGGAAGTTACTTGAGGTTTCTTTGTTGGCATGTTTCTTGAATTCTAAGCTAAGATAATACAGAATCTTAAAATAGCAAACCTGAGAACTGGGTATATAGGTGAAAGAGGAGTATTTATGCATCTTCTACTGCTATAAAGAAACTGGACCCTAGTCTCTAGAGAAAATACTGAAATTTGCAATTACAAGTTCTAATGCATTGCTAATTCTAGCAGCTCTTTCTTAGTTTCTTCTTTAGTTTATTACATTCCTGTATTGTCTGATTGCCCTGTTATTGATAACAAATAATGATAAAGCTGACAGAAAATACACCAAAAAAGTGAAGAAAATGTTCCGGGTATTTTGTGTGATCTGTATTTATGCAGGTTGTTGGATCCAGAGTCCCTGATAGTAAGTTACATGTTACTACCTTCACAGGATAAACAATCAAAAAAATTAAACATGATCCTGTGGGGCATGGCACCAAAATTGACAAAAATATTGTTCAGTAGTGGGAAAAATGGTGCACAACATCCTTTATTTTAGGATGTTACTGATTAGGGATTGTGTTTTCAGAGTTTGCAGGAAGGAGTTGCCCTGAAGCCCAGCCCAGACTTGCTTAGTGTGACTTGGGCTGGGGACAGAGTGGGAGCTGCTGCCCAGCAGCTGGGAGACCTGTTGGTCCCTCCTCCTGCTCATCAAGGAATTCAGCATTTTTCATTGTGCCTCTGTTGTCCCCAGTTGTGCTCTGCTTTCTGAGTGTTATTTGGATTGTAGCAGGTTATGCATTATGGTGGAGTAGGTATATACTGTGAATTCTCTTATCCAAAATATGAAACTGTCAAATTCCATGTGCTTTTGGGAGGCTTAGCACTTTTTTTTTTTTTTTTTTCCTGAAGGCTGGGTGTTTCTGAGGCTGTGTGTTAAGTGGAAGGTGTATTAGCTAGAGACATCCTTCAGTCTCTTGTGTTATTTTTGTGATTCACATACTCAATGTAGAAATATTTTTATTAAACACGATTAGGCTTTATATAGAAGGGTGGCAACCTGTAATTTTTTGTTTGGTTTCCTGTCAGAGTTTAAACAAACTGCTCTTGTCTCCTGAGATCATACTTTGAGTGCTGGAGTCACATGGAAGTGTTGACTGCTGTTCCGTGTCTGGAACAGCTTGTGACTGTTTACTGGAAAAAGCAGCAGCTACATTGTGAAAATGTGCAGTGTAATATCTGTGAATAGCTCTGTTGTTGACACTTGCAGTTGAGTAGGTGATTTTTCTACACAAATACAAGAAGGGTTCATTGTGTAAGACCTACATGTACTCCTTATGTTGTTTATCTACTTTGCTAAATTCGAGTTAAGTTTGGAAGGTTTGCACCTTTTTTTATTGCTCGTTGTAGATGTCCAAATGAAAGATAAAAGCTGGATCAATGTAAAATTCCGAACCTGCATTTTAAAAAAAAGTTCAGTTTCTCAAGGCTTTTGAAAATGGCATCTATTAAATTTTCATTGCAAACTTCCTCCCACCTCGTTGTAAATGTTTAAGCCCTTCGGTGGGAATCGGGGTGTGTGCTCTTGCCATCCTGTAATACTCAGGTTCAAAACTGACAGTTCTGAGTTAGGGCTGAGAATTTGAGTCCAAAGCAGAAACTAGGCCAAAACATCCAGAATGTATTTGTGTTGGATGAAATGAGAATAAATGAAGTTGCACTAAAATAGGATTAGTATTAACATCTTGTAGTGTCGCCACAAGGAATGGAGGAGGGAAGTAAAGAGGACTGGCTTTGGTAAGGAGGTTGATGTAGCAGGCAGGCCTTAGGCTGCAGCAGCTTCAAATTGAGAGCGGTAAGGGATCTCTTATTTCTCTACTGTTTTGTAGCACCAAAGACATGAAGTACAGAAATATTTTGGTAATAGTAATTTGTGCTTTTAGCAAGAGTGTCTCATGTGTGATAGTAAAAAATACTACACTTGATAACAGATAAGAGCATGTTAAAGGTCCCTTCCAACCTAGACAATTCTTTGATTTTATATGGGGGGAAAAAGTACCTACGGAAGTTGCACTTCATTCTGCAGTGTTATTTGGTTCTCAATATCTTTTTATTAGATCCACTGGAGGTACTGAGAGAGGGAAGAGTAAAGACTATTTCTGTTTAGAACTGACTTTGTGGAGAGAGGAAGTTCGCAGGCAGAATGTGACTGAGAATTTGACATTGAATGGTTGAAGATTAACTCCCACTGCCAGGAGGAGTTGCTTTAATGTAGTTTTGGGCTTTTGCAGTTAAGTAAATAACTTATTAGAAAAAATGCTGGGCATTAAGAAGTTTCAGGCCAGACTCTGCTAAAAGTATTTAAACATTTTCATCACGATGTTTAACAGAAGTAGGGCTTGTCATTCTCATGTACCCTGTTATAAGACATTGTTTTCAATTGCTGTGGACTTGGCTGAACTTTAACTATTTATACTGAAGATGTCAGCATCAGATACTTTTTTTTTTTTTTTTTTTTTTTTTCCCCAAAATGTTTGAGAAAAGATTTAAAGCTCCAGCACATCTTTTTATAGGGCATTTGCACTCTTGCCACTTGTGGCATAGATTATGCACATATACGATAATCATGGGTCCATGAAACTTGTCCCTTTGTATCTTCAGATGGTCCCAGAATACTCAACGTAATTCTGCCAGCTCGAGGCTACAGGGTTAGTCCAAGGAATTATTGTAGCTGTTTATCACAGCTGAACTAAAAGCAGGGGCTCTGTTGCTGCTCTTTGTGACTTCCAGCTGATGCCTGACGATGGTATCAGGGCAGGGGAGCTGGCAGGGCAGCTTCGCTGGACCCCTTGGGATGAGGAGCACGAGCAGAGGCTGGGTCTCGGGACTAGAGCAAGGTGCATTTCCACTCAAGCCTTTGGAATGCTAAAGACAGTTCTTTGCATGTGTGGTTATTTGGGTGCAGTGACAGCTACCAGAGGAAAACACCTTCTCTAGATCAGGAGACAGATGGGAGGTTTATTCAAAGCTATATCCATACTCATTGGGCATAGAGAGAACTGCCTACCGATTAGCATCACCCACAGAGCTGACTGGTGACGCTCTGAGATGACGTTTCAGGCAACTGGGACTAAATATGCCCAACCTATTACAAGTAAATTAGGCTTTAGCAATCTTAAGTCCTTAGTCTTTTTTAAAAGAAAAACCTACAGCTGTTCTAAAGTTACACTTTTCTTGAACGCACTTCGACTCCCACACTATTTGTGGTAGACAGCAGCAGAAGGAAGTGGTTGATCTGATGTCAGAAGCGAAAGCGCTCTACAGGGGTAAAGCAAATTACCAAATTCATTTTCTGAAGTAAAAATGGAATTACTTTTACCTTTTGGAAACTTCTTTATCTCTGTTGTGGAACTAAAAAATAACATTATATGTAGCAATTTACTTTTTCTTTTTAAATAGTCCCCAGTCTCTGAGTTCATGAACTTTCTGAAGTACTTAACAATAGCCAGCTAATTTCAGTTTTTAAAATAAATGCGAGGTGAAGTACATGAATATATCCCTTTGTTTAAAGGGATTTAAACAATTTAAACTCCCAATTTGTTGGGGTTTTGTTGTTGGTTTTGGAGAGGTTTTTTGGGGGGTTTTAACTGCTGCACAATATTGGCTGTTCTGGAATGATAGTTTTCTTTTTTTCTCTGGGATGGTGCTAATTAAACTCCAGGTTTACCCAGAAGAGGTTTATAACTTGGAACAGGTAAAGAGCTGGCGGTTTCTTGGTACAACAGACGTAGAATTGTTGTACCTGCAAGATTTATATGGGCTTCTTTTTTCCCCTCCCCTTTTTCTGTTTTAGGTGAAATTGTGGTGAATGAAGTAAATTTTGTAAGAAAATGCATCGCAACAGACACAAGTCAGTATGACCTGTGGGGCAAATTGGTTTGCACTAACTTCAAGATTTCCTTTATTACGGATGACCCGATGCCACTACAGGTTTGTTGCTACTCACATCACTACATCATGACAATAATGTGATAGGTAAAATGGATTTAATTAGAATACAGTGAGTCTGTCTCAGATCTGATATCAATATGAGGCCTCCTAAAACAAAGCAGGCTAAATCATGTGGTTCCACTGTCCTGTTCTGAATGTGTTGCTATTCCATCCCTTTGCTGAGAACATCAGAACAGAGCAAGTTTGGTGTGGAAGTACAGTCAGCTCTATTTACCTCTCTTTATAGAGGCTTCACCGGGAAGTGGTTTTACGAAAGGCAAAGCAGGAATTACATAAAAACATGTTCCTCCTTGAAGAAGATAATTGCAAATGTTCCTTTGACTAGACAAGTGCCAGATCAGCAAAGCCTTTGATGCATCCAAGTTTTATTGGTGTTACTGATGGAGGACAGCTTCAAAAAATTAATTTGTGACATGAAGTAGTTCTCAAAACTAATTTCTGAAAGCTGAATTAGTATTTTTTCTTTCTATGGTTACACTAATAGTTGGAGATTTTTTTATATTGTGTGTGTGTGTATATATATATGTATATAATGCTTCAGATTGTATTGAATTTCTACCAGCAATTTTTGAGGCTAGTAAATTTAGTGCAAGTGGTGGGGTTATTTTGTATACTGCACTGGGGTTTCTAAACTGTTTGGTGTGCGTTCGCCAGCCCAAGGGAGCTGTTTCCACAGCCTCTAATTGCCTGTGAATAGGCAAAGGCGGAACATGTCAGAAAAGTCTAGGCATGCCTGATTTTTATCATAGTTTCTTCAAAGTTGTGCTGTATATCTGGTTGTGAACTGCAAAACTGCAATTAATGGCTATGAGTTCGTGTGTTTCAGAAATTCCATTATAAAAACCTCCTCCTTGGTGAACACGATGTCCCACTGACATGCATTGAGCAGATTGTCACAGGTATGTCAAAAATAGTTAGGTATGATGACAGGCTTTAAACTTACTCAGTTCAAAGCTGTTAACTGCTTGTTAGGTTGTGCAGAGTTGTTGACACTTAAGGTTTTATGTCATTAATCTTCACTGATTTGAAAATGCAATTTATTTTAAATGAGGATAAAAGCCTTAAAAGCTGAATAAAACTTGAGGTGCACAGCGAGGCATACGGAGGTGTCCTTAAACACTTGTCTTGAGTTCCCTGCAAGTACTTAAGTTTAACCCAGAAGATACCTGCAACCAGGCAGCTATGTCAATTAATCACTCAAAAGCTGTGTTCCCCAGTTTTCTCAGTTATCACAAATAATATCCCTGTGGCTTCTGATTCTCATTTTTTACACCTTAACATTCTATGTTTGAAAAGTCAAAGAGACACAGCCCATCTGTGCAGGTCTAGACTAGCTGGCAATTTACAATACTTACATTCTTGAGTTTTATGTAAGAAATAAGGAGTTAATCTTAATCTTAACTACAGCACTTATTTTATACATTCAAGTAACAAAAAATAATTTTAAACAGCATATGTGCAAATTACGTGCATGAGAAGGGCGTTGCAACCCTTCCAGTTAACTCTGGGAGCCAAAATTGCTTTTGGGAATACTGCGTGTTAATTCCTTGTTTGTGAAGTTGATGGACAAAAGTAATCTGGACGTATAGGAAGCAGAAATTCATCCACTTGTTTGAAAGGTGATGAATCAACAGGAGGACCTATAGGTTTTCCACATCAACTGAACAGTTGAAATGCATTATTAAATGGAAAAAATGCTGTTAGCAGCATTACTGTATCTGTTTGAGCCAGTCTTGCATTGTATACTTGCAAAACACAGCCCAATAACTTTGTCTTTTGTTTACAGTGAATGACACCAAGAGGAAGCAGAAGGTCCTCGGTCCCAACCAAAAACTTAAGTTTAATCCAACTGAATTAATAATTTATTGCAAAGACTTCCGTATTGTCAGATTTCGTTTTGATGAAGCTGGGCCCGAAAGTGCAAAAAAGGTATTGTATCTTCTTATGAAATCTTGCCTTGTAGTCATTACACATAGCAACAGCTGTGCTAATAATAATGTTTTGTTTTATGTTTTGATAGACAAGTATGGGACAAGAATTGCAAATTAATCCCATTCTGTTACAGGAGAATTTTAGGGTCTAAATTGTTAGGTACAAAATTTAGCATGATGTATTAAATGCTTCTTTTTGTATAAGAGAAACCTGCATTTCTTGCCATCTCTGTTGTACTTTTAAAAATTACTAATTAAACAATTTTTTTTTAAAGACTGGAATGAGAATACTGCATTGCAGCTGTACAACAGATGTTCACATTGTTATGGAAAATGTTTGAAACTTTGATACATTTTCTGAAAGTCATAAGCTTAATTTACCCGTAGAGTAAAGTTGTACTATCTTAAATATACACTTCTTACTTGCTTCACACAGCAAGTCATCCAGAGAGGCGTTGGAATGACCAGTTTCTCTAATCTACATAAAACTATCTGCTCTTTCTCAACATTTTCTTGGAAAAGACTTGCTTGCCTCATAACAAAAGGAATAACTGTGATAACAAGAGGAATTACTTCTGTCTGTACATTCCTAGAAATTTCATTCCTTCCCTAGCTTTAACACTTGTCATAAGCCTCAACGAACTCGTGCAGTGTTATTTACCATGGTAAACTCCAGGTGAGTTTCTTCTGATCAGAGATGGTTAGTCTGTGACAGCATGAGCTCACCAGCTTCCTCCTCCTGGATCCAGCAGTGGGGTGGGTTGTTTGAGTTAGAGCCCCCCTGGCCACCCCGGCACCCTTCCTCAGCCAGGTGGGGCACAGCAGCCCTTTCCTAAGGAATGACCCAATTTGCTCACAGAGCTTAAGAATTCCCCTTCTCAGTAGGATAAAGTTTGAGCTTAACCCTCTAAGTCCTCAGAACCATCTGTCCAGACATACGTCTGTTTGCAGTTATCAGCTGAGGAACTAATGAACCAGTTCATCACTTCCTCACCTTTTACCCTCTCAAAGGAATCCATGGGCAGATGCCCAGTAACGAAGCCAACTCTCCTTTCCTTGCTGGGCCTTTCGGTCCCTCCCTGCCCGCTGCCTTTGCTGTTGGTAACCTTTCACGCTTGGCAATCTCTCAGCACTCAATTCCCCTTTCTCAGCTTCTCTGAAATCTCCCTGGAGCAGCCTGACTGCTGCAATATCTTTATAGCAACTGTTTCTAATTGGCTGTCACAGCTAAGAAGAGTGATTAGCCTGGAGGAGGAGAGTGGAAACTTAGCATCTCATTAACACTTTTTGTGCTGCATTTACTTACGCAGGAGCAAAAAGTGAAACCTTTTTCTGAAGGCGCCTGCTTTATACATTTGTAATTACATGGTCCAACGTGTTTTCTTTTGATAGGAAGAACAGCTGGTTCTAGAGATCCGGAGGGATCTGAATCTGTGGTTATAAAGATTTGCCATTTTCAAATGCCAGAAGGCCTCACAGAGGGGTGGAAGAAAACTTGTGTGGGTACTATTGCAGTTTTGATGCATCAAGTAGGTTACTGCAACTTTGTGTGGGTGTTTCACAGGGGCACACTTTTACTGGAGGGAGATAAGGTTCTGTAACCTAATCTAATGTTTCTATCATAACATTCTTTTGTTAGCATTAAACTGCAAATGTCTAAAACTATGCAGTCCTTAGATCAGGTTTCTTCTAGCAGGATTTTGCTTAAATTATTTTGGGACGCTGGTGAACACAACTAGAGTGGTCTTACACAGCATATTGAATGGAGTTATTTTGTTCTGGCATTGAAATGGCATCCTAGCAACACACTCTTGAAAGGTTTTTTTTATCTGGTTTCTGTTCCTGCCCTTTAAGTAGTGCATATTAGCAAGGTTGTCCTGAGGTTTAGAAAAAAAGAGAGGTGATCAGGCCTCCTTACAGTTTTGAAGGGCCACTTATATATATATATATTTACATCCAACTCTTTGTGCATGAAAACGTTGGTACCTGTCTGCTTGGAAATAATTGTGTGAGCATGACATTTGTAGGGAGGACCAAGACTGAGCTCTGATGAGAGGGAATTCCTGTTCTTCTCTTGGGCTGAGCGTGCTGGCACTGCCTGCTGACCGAGAGTGGGTTGTAGTAGAGAACGGACCAGGAGGGGCCTGTGGAGATCACCTGGTCTGCCTTCCTCTTCAGAGGACCCAGGATTAGGTCAGGTTAGCTGTGGGTTTGTTCAGTTGTATCTTGAGAACCACCGAGGATGGAGAGCATTCTCCCTCTGTGGGTAACCTGTTCCAGTGCCGAATGGTTTTCGTGATGTGCAGCTGGAATGTCCCAAGATGAGTTCCCCATTGTGTCACCTGGCAAGACTGAGTCTGTAACTACCTTCCTGGTAGAGGTTTCTTGCAGCATCATTACTGCACAGCTAAATGAGCCTAGTTTCTTCAGAAGATGTACTTCAGGACCATCATCATTTTGGGTAGCCCATCGCTGGACTCTCCCCAGCTTCTCCACTTTCCTTTTTACCTGGGGACCTAATCTCCAGTCACCTCTTTGCGAAAAACCAAAATAATTGTCAGCTACATTGTTTTCTGCACAAATTTGCTTATGCTCATTTTGAAGCTAGATATGAGGACCTCCTGAGTGAAAAATGAACGGGGTAGGTTGTGCTTATGTGTTTTATGAAGGTTTTCTAGGGTGCTTAGTGTTGAAAAACTGCAGAACTCAGAACTTCTGAATGGAATCGGTGAATTGTGCAGGCTATAATTAAAATCATGTCTGAAGTCTTCATGACTGAAGTTTTTTTGAATAAGGTTTTTTTCACTTGCTTTTAAGATAAGCAGAGGGGAAGGCGATGTTACAGTTAGCATTGCAGTCTCGGCTCTATAAAGCAAGAGACCTGCATGCTAGTGCTTTATAAATCATAAATAGCTTCCTTTAGCAAACTTTGCAGAACTAGTCAGCTACACAAATCAGAGGAAGGAGATTTCTAACTAACTGTCATCCTGGTAATACAGAGTAGTATCACCCGATGAATAAAGCACTGGTAGGTCAAAATGCAGTATTTACCTACTAGAATATACACTTTATGGGAGTATAAACATCTCTAACTTGCTGCCAGATGCTGGCAAGTGTTCTCTTTAGAGCTACAGTTAAAGAAATAAAAACAATACACTTGATAATTACCATTTAAAAATGAGCTTGAAATATATGGAATAGTTACAAGGAGAACAGATGCTAACTTTATACAGTGGTGTAGTTTGTTTCATGCGAGTTCCCTGAATGCAATGGAAATACTCGACACCATTCAGTTACAGAAATTGGTGTTGGCAAAGAGAATGTAATCTGTTCCTAAGGAAGCGTCTGTATTTGGTGAATGGGGCATAAGGGAGACTAATCCTTGCTAATTAAGCTAGAGGGTTAGAACACAGGGTATCCTGAGTCTCTTTTACAAAGGGTGGAAAGAAGGCTGTGTGTTGGAGAGCAGTCGGGCTGCAGGTGTGGACAGTCTGACTGAGGTGATTACACAGGGACCAGGTGCGTGGTGATGGTAGAACTTTCAGAGGTGTCTTTCTCTGCCTTTAAGCAGAAACAAATTGGAAGAACACATTGAATTCTGAGGGGAAGTAGTTTATTTTGGTGTAAATTATTATGAAGAAGCTTAAAAATCAGTTCTATTAGAAAAATACTTTCCCCATTAGTTGCAGCCAATACGTGCTAGTAAAATACTGTCAACATTAATCAGTCAAGTAAATATTTCCTTCCTCATTTTTATTAATGGATATTTGGGAGACAAGAGTTAAGGGATAATGGAGGGAATGGAAACTCACAGTCATCACTATTTAGCAGTTTAATTCTGTTTTGTCTCTAAAATAAAGCTATAGAGTCTCCAAAGGAAGGGAAGCCAGATGGGTGTGGGAGGAAGCGGAGGATGGGGAAGTGAGGGTAAGCAAGCTGGGGAAGTCTTGAGTTAGGCAGCCTGAAAGAAGAAGCATTTCACATTCCTTAAAGGAAAAGGAATGATTTTGTTCCAAAAAAATCACAACAAACAGTCAAACTGAAAGCTCCTGCTAACTTCTGGCCACTGCAATACTTAACATTAAGCTAGGAAATTAAAATGTATGAAAAGGAGAGGCTTTAGATCTCATGACTGTTAGCTGATGGATGGCGTGTGCCTCACCACACATATGGATCTTGGCAATGCCCCAGAATGGCACACACCCTATAATCTCCTGTTTCCTAAATATATCTCCATTTTCTCGGTCCCTTTCTCTTCTGGAACTCCCTCAGTTCTTGTCCTTCGGGAAGCTTTTTTAAATGTGTGTGAGAGCGGTTTCAGAAACACATGCTTAATCAAAACATAAGGGAAATTATTTATCTCAAATCTTGTTTCCTGTGCAATCAAAACCAGCCTTCTCACACGTCATAACACTTGGGATGGAGCAGAACAAGTTTTTCTTAATTGTTATGAAGCATAATATGAAACTCAGAGTTTTGGATAAATGATCCTGACCCTTTGTAATGTTCCCTCCCCTGCCCCCCTGAAAAAACCAGCCAAACTTCTGTATTGCCTTGTTCTAATTGTTTATACAGATCAAATAATTGGTAATATCTCAAGACTCTGGGAATGCATGAGAAGACAGTATTATCTATATGGTCTTTGGAGTGGGATTGGAAGGGCTGAAGAAAACTTTTTTCAGAAGAAAAACTTATCTAAAGGAGTTCTAAGAAGTAGCAATGTATTGTCATATTTGTCTTAAGGCTAAGGAAACCTCTAGTTAGAATTCAGACACGTTCTTGTAAAAATAAGGACTCTAATATGTAAAAAGTTACTTCAGCTTCTGAAAGCCTTGTGCTTTTTTTCCTCTCGTGTCATTTACTTGTACTCAAGCTATATTAGCCATTATGTATAGCTGGTGTTGGAATTTTTATAGAAGGAGGGGAAAAAAAAGCAGTTCTCAATAGACAATTTGTAGCTCAGTGGAGAGGAGAACCTGCATGATGGTTGGGGCTGACAGTCTTGTCAGCTTATTGAATGGAAACTGATTTTCCCAAGATTTCCTGCCTGGGAAGGCGAACAGATTCTGTCCATGGGACTTGATGGGGCCCTGGCTGCCTGGTTTCTGCTGCAGGTGTCTACCCAGAACAGGACTGGCAGTGGCAAAGGGAATGGTGTCCTTCAGTGTGTTCATAGAGAAGGTAGCCTGGCTCGGGGGGGCAGGTGAAGCGCAGGGCGGTGCTAACTTAGCACATCTTAAACGTGACTGTTCAAAACTATCTTTTCCAAGAGCATTGGCACTATTTTGAAGGTCTTGTCCTTGGTAAAATTCCTGTTGAAGGAGAGGATGGCTTGCCCTGAAAGTAGCGTTTGTTTTTCTCAGACAGGGGTTGAACAGGGGACACCGACACAGGGAAGTGGCCTTTGTACTATGAAATAATTACAGCCATTGTGTTTACTGCTTTTAATAAATGAACTTTCCAACAAGCAGCCTATTCTCTTGTTATTTGACTGAGCCGAAATATCTTCAGCTTTACACAATTGTAAATTGGCAAAAATACCAAACATTTTTCAGTTTGATATGAGAACATTTCCTGTAAAACATGTTTGTCTTCCAATTTAAGAACTTTCTACTTACGATGATAATCTGCCGAGATCTGTGGAATGTGCTTGTCTTTTGGAACTTTCAGACAATGAAACTACTATATGGATTTAATGCAGAAAAACCTGAAAATTAGTATGTCTTTAATACTTTTTTAGTGTGTATATGAGTGAAATTTGTTTAAAATGCCAAAATGAAGACAATAGCAGGATAAATATTGTATTTTTTTTCTTTAAGAACAGAAATAGAGGTCTTGAACCTGTATTTAACCCACAGGTGGCTGTTTCACCCATGGAGTATCTGGTGTTGTGAGTTACGTCTCTTCTGTGGAACACCTGGGAGCATTTTTCAGCCGCTGGGTTTAAAAGCACAGCTATGATCTTATTTTTGGGAACCAGATGTGAATGCTTACCATCACCCACACAATTTTACCCCTCTTAGCACAAGCACTCACATACTTTCTTTCTCAAATGTGGCAAGTAAATGACAGAGATTTCAGCTGCTGCTTTTAAAAATAGGTTTTACTGTATTTCTATTGTGTTACTTGGCAGCACAATGGAATTTTTTAATGTCTTGCAGCTCATCCTCGAGCCTTGAAAGCAGATTAGCATTGGCTTTTCATCCTCCACTCCATAAATGAAGATGAGGAGTAGCTCTGCTAGTATCAGTTACTGTAGTGAAAAGTTACATACAAAAATGGAAGTCAGAAAGTGTATGTACACAGATATCCATTTTGTTTCATTGTGAATGATGGGCAAAAGTAGTCTGTCAGAAACGGCCAAGTATTATGGAATAGCCGTCTGCTTCAGCTTTGATTGGTACACTTAAATCACAAGATTTAATAAAATGTGCATGGCTTCCAGTTACTTCATGGTAGTTATTAAAAGTTGTACCAAATCCTGGAAATCAGCTTATAAATGCTCACTTGAAAAGTCACGCGAGACTGTTTCCAGTGGCCCTTTTGTTCCTTCAGCTGGGTGTCATGCAAATATGCAAATCTTTCATTTTTGTCTATGACAATAAGAAAACTTTCCTTCATTAACAGAAAACAAATTTGTGAATGCACAGAATTTTTTTTAAGAATAGTATCCAAAACTGCTAAACAGTGAATAAATTGTGTCAACGTATTGCTAAATGCAAAACCTCATGGAGAGCTGGAGAGAAGGAAGAAAATGGAAAGGAAAAATTTTAGTTGGTAATAATGTGAAGTTATACAATGTCTCTAATTAAAAACTTCGACACATGGAATTTCTGTATCTGAACATGTAGAATAGAGTTTTGTGGTTTATAACCTTCTTTTCATAAAATATTTTCTTTAGAAAAAGACAGGTACATTTTAGGAAAATGGAGAAGCAAGTACTGAGGGAAGAAGGCAAAGTTAAAGACTCCAAATCAAGCCCTAACATTTGGAGAATAGTGCCAATCTCTACTTTAAAGGGCTTTTTTTTTCCTGAATTTGATTCTTCTGGATAGTAGGGATTTTGTCAAATCTTTTGTACTCAGCAGTGAGTATCCACATTAAAAGAGACATCTCTTTCTCTATTTAAATCTCCGTTGAGTTTCCCTTTCCAGGGCAGGGCTTGTGACTCAGCCTGGTTAAACCTGACTAAACATCAGACTGTCAGGGGCAGTGCTGGAACCTGCCATAGACCTGCAGGCGTCAAGAACTGACGTGTGGGTTTCTCTGTGAATGAAATCCAGTCACCTGGGACAGAACCGACGGGGGCTGGGTCAAAATTAAATGAGGCTGACGTTTTGCTGCCCTCAGAAAGTTTGGCTGATGTTTCGGTTCTCAAGATCAGCTGAGACTGGGAGGGGGGTGATTACTGGCATGTTTAATTAACTGTAGATCCTCCACACTTGGCAAAAGGCCCTATGCTAAAAACTCACTTTCTGTTGAAATTGATGGAGCATTTTTGGCCTCCCGTTCAGCTGACAAACAAACTACAAGGGACTAACATGAAGAAAACATCTCCCACTGTGAATTACTTGTAACAAGTAACTTGGGGTGAAAAGCTGTTCCGTATTACCAAACGATTTGCTTTTTATTTATATTCATTGGTGCCCTTCATAATTTTGGAATACAGCTTAATGAGATGCAGGATTGACGTAGGTCCTGGAAGTCTTCAAAGAGCAACCACTTGTTTTCCCTTCCAAGACCAGAAATTTTTGAAGGTTGAATTTTGGGTAGCACAGACCAGTAAGCTTGATGCCTGTAGGGGGTGGACTAGTGGAAAAGATAATAAAAATTTAATCAGATACAAAGTTTTGGTTAAATGTGCTACTTAGGGAAGAATCAACAGGGCTTTTGTAAAGGGAAGTCGCATTTCAAAAACTTGGCCCAACTGACAACTTTATAGAAGAAATATCTATCAAATGCTGTTGAATACTGATACCAGATTTTACAGGAAGTGCCTGAACTGTGGACTGTTGAAAAATATAATGATAAAATTTCATTATATGCTTGCTCTGTTTTTCCCCTCTTCCCTAAGCATGGATTGCTTGCTGCTGTTAGGAACAGTGTGCTAGGTTGGACCTTTTGAACCAGCTCAGTATGGCCACTCTTAGGTTCTTATGCTATGTTGATAAGTACTCTTTATTTAAAAAAAACCCGACAAACTAAAACAAAAAACACAAAACAAATCAGAATACCAATTGCAAATGATATTTTGCTGTGCTGTGGTCACCACCTGTGTCTTGTACTCTTCTTTTTCTGTTCTCCTTACTTGGATATGCAGGTAGGCAGGCACGGCTCAGTAACTCCAAGCCCTTGCTTGTCCCTGTTGATGCAGAGGATCATGTTTAGGGCTGGCTGTTGCTGTCTGATGTTTCTTGCAAAACCTTTTGTCTGCCCTTAATCAGTTCATCACTCTTGAGAGATGGTCATGAACTCAGCTACTATGATTACAGTGATGGTCTTTCAGCAACTGTATAATTCACTTCTCTCAAAATATGGAAATAAAACATCAGAAGACTGATTTTTAACTTTTGCTCTGCATATTTCATGCTGTAATAAAGGCAATAAATTTTCTGTCTATAAGTTAACAGTAATAAATGTTTCTTTCCTAGGTGTGCCTTGCAATAGCTCATTATTCTCAGCCAACGGATCTTCAGCTTCTCTTTGCATTTGAGTATGTTGGGGAAATGTATCATAATCCAGGTAAGAATGAAAGTAGTTTGATTTTTTTTTTCCTGTTCCATACTATGTAATTTTAGTATGACTTCTGTCTAGAAGCAATGGCAAAAAGCATTTGAGGCTTTCTCCAGGGATAATACAATTGGCTCGTCCTGCACCCAACCTCTTACTTTCGGTTATAAGTCACTCATTGAGACAGACATTAACGACCAAAATCAAAAGAAATGTCTTTCCTGTCTGCAACAAACCAAACCTACCTATGTCAGCACTTATGTCAGCATGAATACTCGTATTTCTCAATTCACGCTTCGATCCTCCTACTGTATGTCTATACTGGTACTGTAGGTACCCAGCTAATCTCCCATCAGGCAGGCTTGTTCACCTGCCCTTCTTTTGGGAATAAGTTTCTCTTCTGGTGGTATTGCAGGAGGATTTGTGCAGCTTGGGACTCCAAACCTTCTTTCCTAGAGGCTTACTAGGCAGTTCTTACCACTCAAAACCTCCACCACCCCTGCTGAGTTGGAGCACACCCTCTCTGCTCAAGGCCAATCTCCAACTGAACTTGTCAGTTAGGTAAGCCTGAAAAAGATGCCTTTGGAACTTGATTTCTAGTGTAACGCTGTGCGGTCACTGCTGAGTGTTCCCCAGCCAATACACAGCTGAAAGCCATCAGTTCTAGCGTAACAAGCCTCCAGACAGAGAAAGTGCCATTGATGTAGTTCTGTGGTACTGAAATATTTACTCAGCAGCTGGCATTAAAAACCACTGATCTGCCTGTTACAAAATTTGGATGTCGTGGAATCATGAGCTCAGGCCTTCAAATTTACACAAAAATGCATGTTTTTCATGCAGGTGCCTACATGACTGCCCTGTGAATGCACAAGAATGAGTGTGCATGTGGTTATGTGGTGCACATAACTGAATATGTGATTTCTTACCTGATAAAACTTGGGTGATTATTAAGGTCCATGTTCTTTAGCTTTACAAAGTACTAGGGAGGAAGCCAATTTGCAGATAAAATGTTAAAGGGAGTGTGAACAAAATGTCAGTCTATCACAAAGTTGCCTTTACTCTGTCCATAAAATACCATTTGGTGTATGGAAACATGCCTAGTGGAAGAATTACATCAGGTGGGTAAAAGGTGTTGTTCCTGTGGAGCAGCAGCAGGCCGGGGTGGCAAAGGGCAGTTGTTGTGCTGTGCTGCAGGTGCTGGGGTAAAGAGTCTGAAATGCTGCTGGGCTGGTTGGGGTTTGTCGTTGGTGTGAACCCTGGTGTGTATAGTGTAGATCTCTGGATTTGCCCTTACAATTCCAGCGCTGTGATTTATGACCATGTCCCTGCTAGTCCCAGCAGGGTAGAAGTTGAAATACTGTCTTTGTGCTTCTGGAGGAACATAAAGAGCCTGCATTGCTCTGGTGCATATAGACATCTTTTTTTTTTCCCAGGCTATATTTGATAATTATATATCCTGCCATTGAACAATACAATTACAACCTTTTGGGCAGTAATTATATTTCTCTCTATACTATCTTTGAACAGCTACTTCATCCTGATTTTAGTCCAATTTTCTTTTGAAAAGCATAAGTAGCCTGTGTACTAGTGCGAGAAGGCAGTGGATAGATACAGGAGCTGTGCAGTGCCAGAGGTGACAGCAGAGCCCTCAGGCTGTCTTCTGCTTTGTTTGGGCAGCACTTACAGCTTTACAGGCTCCTGCTAAAGCGAGGAGCTTTCGTGGGGGAGGCAGGAGGGTTGAATCTCAAGTTTATTTCACTTTCATCTAAAAAAATACTTCCAAGTGTCAAGAAACAAAATGTAGTCTCCTTTGGCACAGCTGACTGCCCCCTTGGCACCTAAAGAATGACCAGCAAAGGGGATTCTTCCCTGTTACTGACAGACTATGTCATCCTCTTGGTCCCTAGCCACAAAATGGTAGGCCATCTTCTCCTGTGGATATAAATAAATATATGTATAAATATATATATTTTTTTAACCTGGCCCTCAATTTATTTTATTTGCTGTTAATACAGCAGTACTTTCTAAGGAAAAGCTGTTGAAATGATGTTATTTTTCATTTGCTTTCCCTAATTAAGAGGTAGCCTATAAAGGTTTCATGTTTGTAAAACATCACTAACTTTCTCATGTTGAAGAGAGGAATCCTGTGACTGAAGATAACATTTGTTCCTGAGTGTTGGTATGTCCTGCTTTCTGCCAGGCAGCACAACATACCAATTTAATGTTGCTTTTTTGTTTAAATCACAGCAAAAAATACATTTATATCTCCATGTATCGCCAAGCTGTCATTAAATCACTGACCTGTTGTAATACAAAAATAGGTAACATTAGTCCTGCTGCTGCTGCTGGCTCATTCTCGTAATTAGGAAGGTGAAGAGTTTGATTTTTTTCTCTTTTGTTTTTTAAATACGCATTGATGAATTTTCTTTTCCTAGCAAAGAAGGTGAATGGAATAGACCCAGGAGGAGGTGGTGGTGGCATCGGCAGTGCCAGTGGCCAGCAGACACCTTTGTTTGAAACTTACTCTGATTGGGATAGAGAAATCAAAAGGACAGGTGCTTCAGAGTGGAGAGTTTGTTCAGTCAATGAAGGTTATATGATATCCACTTGGTAAGTCTCCCTTATAACGCAAGTAGAAGAAACCAAGGCAGTTATTCTGTCCTTTCCTGTCTCCTGTACCAAAGCCTCCCTCCTGCCTAACTGTGCGCTTCACCTCTTACACACCCGCTCTCCAGAGGGACCCTCAGCTGAAAGACCCTGCAAGTGTTGTCATTAAAGGAAATGTCATATTTTTGGCATCTGTCGCTTTCATGCTTTTGTACTTCCCTCTGAAACATGCAGTTTGTAAACAGCAAGACCTGAGCTGCACCAGGGGTAGGTAACAGGGTGCTGGTGCAGAGGGCAGCCTGCGGTATTGGGGGCTGGGGTGTTATAGTTTAACAGGGTGGGTAAGACAGTGCTGCAGCAAGACAAAAGCTGCTAAAATAGGTAGGGAAAAGTAACCATTTGTATCGTTCTCTCCCCAAGCCTTCCAGAATATTTTGTGGTCCCATCTTCTTTAGCAGATCAAGACCTTAAGCTGTACTCCTACTCCTTCATTGGGAGACGGATGCCGGTAAGTGTGGTCTTTATTCTGTTACTGTTCTTGATCTCTGTACAATATTAATCTTAAAGCTATTTAACATATGCCGGTTAATGCAGTTTCGTGTGTAGCATTAAGATAAAAATGCTATGGAATAACATTAACCTGCATTATTTTGTTGTTTCTTATGGTTTTTTTTTCCCCCCATATTAGTTATGGTCCTGGAATCACCCTAATGGGAGTGCCCTTGTAAGAATGGCCAACATTAAAGATGTATTGCAACAAAGAAGAATTGATCAAAGGTAAATGATTAGTTATGGTATTCTTTAATCAGACACATGAGGTAACAAGTGGTGACTGTAGCAGAGAGCAGCAGTTGGTAACTGAGAGGGTACTTGCTCCATAACATCGTGCAATAGCTTTTGAGGAACTGCTCTCTGAATAGAGTTGGGGCACAATTTCTGCTCAAGGTCCACTTCAGTTTCAAATACTGAACAATTTTAAGGGATTCCATTTTTTAGGCAGCCAGTCATTCACATGGCAGAATTTATTGATAAAAGGATCAGACTTTTATCTGAAGAATAGATCTTTGCTGTTGATGTTACTGTAATACAACTTATGTTGGTGGAGATTTTCTTACCTCCTTAATTTATTTGTGGCCTTGGGAAATGCAGTTCTATAGATCTAGTGGCCCAATGCACATGGCATTTCTGTGAAATATTTGTCATTCATTGTCCTTGATGAAAGATGAAGGCATTTAGAGCCTCAGATAAATAGCTTACTAGCTTGGGATTTTTTGTTCTTTGATTTAATTTGTAGGGTGATTTTTTTGTAGTGGTACAAACACTTGCATGGTGTGTTTGAGGCTGCAGCTCTGAGTTTTATTTGAAACCCTGACAGATTTTCTGTCTGTATAAACTATATGGGATCTGTTTATTTAGCATAGATAAGTCTTACTAAAAATTGTGGAAAATTAAAGAGCTATTTAACTGTAAGTCAGCCTCAGATTTTAATTTCCCAAACGTGTTGTTTTAATCACCCAGTGTTTCTATTTTTTAATTTTGTAACTAGTAATGCCAAAAATAGTTAATACCTTTGTGGCAGAAGCAGTGTATCTCCTGAATATAAAATAGAAAATAAAGTGCACGTTTTCTGTAGTTTTAGTTGTTTGCAGTTACACACTGTGGCATGTTTCTTGAAAGACTGTTTCTCTCCTCTGCAATAATAAAATGAGTGATTCTTTTTCATACTTAGGATTTGTAACGCAATAACTCGAAGCCACCCCCTGAGAAGTGACGTTTACAAATCTGATCTGGACAAGTGTCTCCCCAACATCCAGGAAATCCAGGCTGCCCATATCAAGCTCAAACAGCTGTGTGTTAACGGTACGCTGCACTGGCCTTCCTTCATGGTGGTTAATTTTCCCGAAATACCGCAAATTCTAATAGATGTGGCCAACAGGAAGAGCTATTTGATGTTGTTCTGCAATGTAATTACTTTCCTTGTTGCAGAGCCTTTTGAAGAAACTGAAGAGAAGTGGCTGTCCTCACTGGAAAATACTCGCTGGTTGGAGTATATTAGGTTTGTACTGTTGATAAAATTATAGTTAATGAGATGTTAAAAAACTTTCACCAGTGTAAATAAGCAGTGAATCAGCTGTAGGATTCTCTGTTTTAATACCCGAGTTAGGTAAATACAGAGAGCCCAAATTTTTGTTTCTTCTAGAGTGTGAACCTGTTGACATGAACTGTTGTGTCACTTTCTTTTCCTGTCTAGGTCATTTCTTAAGCATTCTGCTGAGCTGGTGTACATGATGGAGTGTAAGCATGTTTCTGTAGTTCTGCAAGGTAACACAACCTGTCATTCTCAGCATTAGTAGGATCACGTAGATAAACACATTCAGATAAAATCAAATCTTTATACATAAACCCCATCACTTCTAAATACTCTTGGCATTTGAAGAACTAGAAAGGAAAATAATTTTATGTATCTGAACTGTAGTACAGTCCGTAGCATCAAAGGAATATTTCACTTTGAGTCTTTGTGGTTTTTATTCTGATAATGGTATGATAGAATCAAAACTTTAGGGTGAAGTTTTGTACTGTGTTAATTGTTAAGCAGTATCAGATCCTGTATACAAAACATCTTCCTAACAGTGGCTGCTGGTGTGTAAGTGCAAACAGATATTCCAGGAAAAAAAAGACACTGAAAAATTTGCTTATATTGAGATCAGAAATGTTGTCATTTCTGTGATTTTAGAAGTTCAGCTGATATATCGCACTCACATAATGGCATTCCGAATACTGCTTCAGGGTGGAAAATATGTTGAAAGTTCCCAGCAATATGAACACCCTCCTTCCCATCGCATCTTGGTTTAAATACCAGGCATTTGGGTGGGGATTTGTTCTTGGTGAATGCGCTGCTGTTCTGTCACTGCAGCAACAGCTCTGTAGGGCGAGTCTCAGGCTAAAAAAAAGAGGTGTTTTCTAGTTTTGTTTGAAACTATGAGAACAATTACAGCAGCAAGAAGCATGGTTTAAAAGAATTTCAAAGAAAAACAATAGACCTAGTTGCCACTTTTTGCTCTTTGAGATCTAATTCTGTATATGTGCCTATATACCTTACATATTTCATACATTCTGTGTGTTATTGGCAGAGGAAGAGGGACGGGACCTGAGCTGTCTTGCTGCTTCTCTCATTCAAGTCATGCTGGATCCCTACTTCCGAACAATCGTTGGATTTCAAAGCTTAATACAGAAGGAATGGGTGATGGCAGGATACCAGTTTTTAGATAGGTGTAACCACTTGAAGAGATCTGACAAAGAGGTAAGAGTGAATTGTGTTTGTATGTGATAACAGCAGCTGGTTAATAGCAGCCTGAACAGTTATTCACACTGAAATCTAAAAGCAAAAATATTTTTTTTATACTTTCAAATCTCATGAAACCAATGCCAGTGAAACGAGAGAGAGATTTTCTTTATCCTTTGTAGCCACATGAGCATGAGTGAAACCCCAGGGGAATCAAATGTTGCTGGGTTTTTCTGTTGCCTCAGTGTTACCCAGGAGAAGGTCCCACTGTTACAAATGTTAGCACAGCCCACCTTCTAAATTGAAAGCAAAGGGGGCGGTACCAAGGGGGTTGTTTGTTTTGTTCATATCTGTTTGCATCCCTATGTTTTGGAATGCAAAGTCACATCAATACGCAGAACTTCCCAAAGCACTGAGCTGATGGAGAAGCGCTGCAGCTTTGTGAACTGAGTGACAGCTGCCAAAGGGATTAACAGAGGGCAGCACAGTGCTTGATTTTCACTATTTCCAGCTAATCTTATTTGGGCTCTTCATTGCAAAGGAGAGACTTGTAATCACAGTTGGAAAATGAGAGGCCCCCCAGGTCAGCAGCCTGGTTCAGGGGCAAAGCCCCAGAGTCCCAGAAAAGCAATATCCCCAGAGCAGAGCCCACAGATCAACTGAGGACACTGAGCACCCAGCAGAGGAGATGCACGAAGGGATAAAGCAACTGAAATACCAAGGGGGAAATAATGGGAAAGCAGGTATTTTGACTCTAGGAAAGGAAATTCAGAAGAGTGAAACTGGGAAGAGGAAAATATTTCTAAAGCTTTATGTAAGTGATAGTTTATAATTTTGCCATTGATGGGCCACTGTGGGAAGGGCTAGAAAGTGTAGTGAGACGTTAAGGTGGCTGAATCATAAGCTCTCCAGTCACTTCAAACAAGGAGGAGGTATATACGTTGTGAAGATAAGGTCAAGTAGCAAGGAAGGCTCATGCAAACACTGATTTGGAAATTTTGAGGGACATACAAGAGGGCAGGAAGCTTTTTTGCAGCTACGTGAGTGTGGAGAGATCCCAGGAGAGAACTGACTGGCTTCTTACAGAGAAGGGGAAGCTGTGGAAAGGTAATGCAGACAAAGCCAGTTGCCACAGTTGCCTCTGAAAGTGGCTAAACAGGAATGCAGGGGGTTACGGTTGCTTGAAATTATAAAAAAACCAATACTCCAAATTTACTTGGTTAAGGAACATACCAGAGGTGTGGCTGCATGCTCTAATGGGGCACTAACTGCAAAGAAATCAGTATGACCTGGGAAAAGCTTCTGTTAAATCTAACAATTCTGTGTTTCTTTTCCCAGTCTCCGTTGTTCTTGATGTTCCTGGACTGTGTGTGGCAGCTGCTGGAGCAGTACCCAGCCGCCTTCGAGTTCTCGGAAACGTACCTGACCGTACTGTACGACAGCGCACGCATCTCACTCTTCGGCACTTTCCTCTTCAATTGCCCTCACCAGCGAGTCAAGGAGAGCACTGTGAGTATGAGGGGTGACACCTGCTTTCCAAACAAGAGGCTTCAGTACGGCCCTCTGGAAATCGCAAATAAATGGTATTCCTTTGTGTTTTTCAAAATGTCACACTCCGTTCAGGGCAAAATATTCAGCTCCCCAGACAAACAGGATCAGAACGTCCTTTCGGGTGATCTGTGCATAGACAGTAACTATTCAAGAAGAAAGTCCATTGAATTTCTTTTCTTTTTTTCTTGAAAAGCATAGTTATTGTACATTATTATGTGTACTCCTCTAGGAAACAGATTTGTATCTGGAACTGATAAAGTAGAGTGACAGGCAACAAAGAGAATTTCACACTTCAGGCAAACTTTGAAATCTTTTGACATAATTGCTTAAATAGTTGAAAAAGCCTGCATGAGCTTCAAATGGTAATGCACTATGGAGTTATTTAGGAAACTGAACGCCTAAGCTCCAGTTTTCAAAATCAGATTTATCAGAACTGTGTGTAGAAAACATTTGATGGCCTGTAAAAGTAAAACTGAGTTATTTGTTAGATATATTCCTTTTAAAGTTGTCAGTAGCTACCTTACAAAGAAGTAGAGCATTAACCATTAGTGTATTCTCAAAATAACAGTCGGGGGGGTGATAAGTAAACAATTTAATATTATTGAAAAGTAATTTTTGCTAAGTAAACATTAGACCTGAGTGCCCCGAGAGGGCTGGAGCCCCTCTGCTGTGGGGACAGGCTGAGAGAATTGGGGTTGTTCAGCCTAGAGAAGGGAAGGCTCCAGGGAGACCTTATGGCCCCATCCTGTACATGAAAGGGCTACAGGAGAGATGGGGAAGGACTCTTGCTCAGGGAGTGCTGCGATAGGATCAGGGGGAACAATTTTAAATTGGAAGAGGGGAGATTTAGGTTAGATCTCGGGAAGAAATTCTTTGCTGTGAGGGTGGTGAGACACTGGAACAGGTTGCCCAGAGAAGCTGTGGCTGCCCCATCCCTGGAGGGGTTCAAGGCCAGGCTGGATGGGGCTTGGAGCAACCTGGTCTGGTGGGAGGTGTCCCTGCCCAGGGCAGGGGGGTGGAACTCGATGATCTTTAAGGTCCCTTCCAACCCAACCTGTTGTGTGATTCTGTGGAATGACAGCCAGGGTACAGCTCTTCTCCCCAGCAGCAGGCTGTCCTGCTGCTCTGTTGCTTTCATCTGCAGCCACCTCTAAATTATATCCCTGGCTTTCTTTGCCCAGTTGTTACTCACTGCCTTGTAATTAAGATTTGTGAATAAGCTTATTTTGATGTTTAATATGCCCGAATGTTAACTTCTTGCAGGAATTTGCCATAAGCAAAAATATTCAGCTGGGGGATGAGAAAGGCCTCAGATTTCCTTGTGTTTGGGACTGGTCTCTTCAGTTCACAAGCCGGGATCGCCTGCTCTTTCACAACCCTTTCTACGTCGGGAAGAGCGCGCCGTGTGTACAGAATGGAGCCGTGAAAACTTTCAAACGCTCAAAGGTAACTGTGGAGCTGTCTGTCTGGGAATGGGTTGTTTCTGTGCTAATGCTTAAGGACTTAGTTATAGAGTGTTTTACACCCTCAGTTTAGCAATAGGAGCATTACCTCTCAGCTTCCCAGCCTAGAGAAATAATTTTCTCTTGAAGTAAAGATGTCAATTGTTGAGCCTTGTGTTCCAGAACATCTTCTGATGTGGCTGAGCTCACTGCCAACATCTGCATTACTTCACCTATAGAAAAGCTGTAGCATGACACTTTTTTCTCCTAGGGTTGTCAGTTTTTTCAGTAAATACTGATTAATTAAATCATTCATTGTTTTAGAAAGTCTAGAAAACATATATATTTCTTTTTAAAGGCTGCAGGTGGCCACACTGTTTGCCCATGAGCTGTGCAGTAGTGACTCACGAGCTCAGAACTGTTAAAGGTCACACCATTTCTCAGGGAAATCTGCTGTTCAAATGCGCATAAAGCTGGAAAATTACCGGTATTTCTTTTCTGCAGAAAAACTACAGCTCCACATTGCGAGGTGTCCCCCCAGCATTAAAAAACGGAATCATCAGCGAGCAAGAGTTCCTTCCAAGAAGAAACTCTCTGATACTAAAACTGAAACCGGACTTTTTACAGCAGACGGAGAGTCACAGTAACAGTATGGAACAGTACTTCAGGGACTGGTTTGCAAAGCCTGTTGATTTGCACGGCGTAATCCTACCCCGGATCTCTGGAACACAAATAAAACTGTGGAAACTGTGCTACTTCCGCTGGGTTCCCGAGGCCCAGATCAACCACGGTGGGTTCATCACTGCTTTCCACAAGGTCTCTTTGCTGGCAGATGAAGTAGACATGTTAAACCGCAATCTTCGGCAGTGCAAAAGCAACTCCTCTTTGCAAGGCAACTGCTCGGAACTGGATCAAAGCAGGATGTACTTCAGAGCAAACAGTTTAAATGACACCTCTGGGCCCCCAGACTTTCTCTCCTCCTCATTCCCGTTTTCTCCTGTAGGGAACCTGTGCAGGCGGAGCATTCTGGGAACACCTTTAAGCAAATTTCTAAGTGGTGCCAAAATCTGGCTGTCCACTGAGACGCTTGCAAATGAAGACTAAGGTGATGTGACGGTTTAAAGGTTTGGGGAGAACGCAGCATATCATTTTGTCTTTTCTAAGTTAACACTGCTCAACGCAGCATTGAAAGCTGTAATAATTTTTATATACAAACAGTACGTAAGTTTTGCACAAATGTTTAAACGCAAAGCGAGTCATGCTTCAAATCGCACAATTTTGTATTCAGTAGTTTTCATCTGCGAGGGTTTCTGGTCCCCTTCTGCATCTTTGTGGTTTGGCTCATTACCTGTGATGGAGCATTTCATTAGCTAATTGAAGGGCTTGGTGTGGTCATTAATCAAATGAGGGTCTGTTTGAAATATCTTTTCCCAGACAGTGACTGAAGCGACTCTTGTGTCAGACCAGTTTGGGAAATGGAGGTAGTTTGGTGCAGACTGACGGCTGACTCTGGGAACAAACTATTTTATCAGATTGCCTCTTCAGGAAGAATACCTATATGCATACATACATACATACATACCTACATACATACTAACGAGCTGCGACTTGATCACCCTACATATGTGTTAATACAGTGTCTATCTGGGAGGAGGGGGGCTATTCCCTTTTGTTTCTCTCCCCACAATGTATTCATTAACAATTAGATTTGTGTTCTGTCATGAGCTTGACTTCAGACTATGGGAACTGACTTCAGGACAATGCACTGTTAACCTTAAACATTTACTGTAGATACGGTGTCCTAGTAGCTTTAGAAGTGCCTTTACTTGGGAGGAGATGGTCACGAGATCACTGTAATGCAGCTGACCCCCCCAACCTTTTACAGTTGATTGTTACGGTAAGTTCTTCTTAAGCCTCCCCCTCTCCATTCCTGGCCATAACGGGCAGCCAGCTCCAGAGACAGCAGGTTCTTCCTGCTGTGGGGACAAGAGGGCTTAGAGGTGCCACCATTTTACATACCTGTCTGGCCAGATGGACAGAGCAATGGACAGGCACCGCCCGGGAGGGAATTAAATCCAACAGCCTCCCGCTGCGTAATGCAGCAGCCTCCTCTGCTCTAAAATCTTGTAACTGCTGCCTCTCCCCTGGGTGCTCTGCCAGAAAAAGCCTCAGGTTTCACAGGGAGAAAAGCAAGAGAGTAAAGAGGAATTGTGATGTGTCCTTCTCCCAGGCCAAGGCTTCTGTTGACTGTCTTCTCCTACCAGGCTGCATTAGCCCATTTCTGTGTAGAACACCGATGCTGCTGAACCAATTAGCAGCTATTCTCAATTACCAGGAGCTAAAAGAGCTGTATTGATGATAATACCCAGTATATTGGAGGGATTTGGAGCTCATTTGTTTGTAAATCCAAAATGGGCTTCAGCACAGCCTGAGTCACAGTGTGGGGTTTGGCTGTCTGAGGTTGTCCAAGTATCTGTTTTGGAGAACACGCACCTGGAGTGGCCTTTGGGTGGTGGCTCTGTGCTGGAGACCTCCATTGCATTCGGGGCGGTTCCGTTGGAAGGTGAGGTGGTGGGAGGGGGGTGCTGTCCTGTTCTAACCAACCAAACTCCCAAACCCGGTTTTATGCAAAGCCCTGTGCCCACGGGGTGGGACCCAACCAGCCAGATTGGGTCTGGCCAACTGTTTGTGAGGAAAAAACGTGTATTCACCTCAATTGCCTAATTATGCTGCAAGACGGGCTGAGCATGTTAAATGGTCCACAAACCAGTTGTGTTTATTTACTAGCTTGCTGGAGCAGTCATCTGCCCTGTTCAGTTCATTACTCAAATGTTTGTATTAGTTTGCTTTTGTGATTTTTTTTTTTTTTTTTTTTAATTAGCTTACTGCTTTCCCTGGCCTGATACTTGACATAAAAGACCTCAACCTGTGTGCTTTGTGTCTTTTGGTACCGATGATTTTTTTTTTTCCTTTTTAAAATTACACTTAAAACTATGGTGTTTCTTTTTTTTTTTTCCTTAAAAGTGTAACTTTTTTTGGTTTAAAGGTACCAAAAAATATGTAAATAAATTACTCCACGCAGGCAGCTGGTGGAATAAAACATAAAATAAACGTTTAGGCTAGTACCCTTTGGGGGAAAAAATGGGTACTGTATTTAAACAGGATTGTCTTTTATAAGGAGATTTCAGACATTTTTACATTTCAGCTCTAAGATGTGTACAGATGCTGCAGATGGTCTTTGTATTTTATATATATAGCACAGGAGGGGGTTAAAAATAATATGCCTTCATAATAAACAAAACCTGTCTAAATATCTCTTTGCCAAACCGACTTTAAAATAACTTCTACGCAGATGAGAAAGGGGAGCTGGGCAGCGAGGCTGAGCTGGGGTGGGGGGAGGGCTCCAGCCCCCCCTTGCCCTGGAAATGGCAGGGGAGGTTCTGCTCCCCCCGTGCGGAGGGGCCTCTGCTGCCCAGGAGCTGGCACAACTGCCCTGTCTCTGTGCGAGTGCACACCTGCCTGTGGATGGTGTTTCTTCCTATTAAACACCTTCATTTTTTTAATTTACTTTTTAAAGACAGGTACTAAATGTTGATTTTAATATATCCTCCACTCTGCACAGTTGCCTTATTACTAGTCAGTAACATCTTTAATAACTTTCAGAAGCAATTTTGGGGTGCAAGTACGTATCTTTAACTTCTCTGTATAGAATACTGACATACAAGTGTGTATATATGTGTGTGTGTGTATATATATACGTACACATTTTCAAATTTTAATTTCTGTTCACCATTTAAAACAAGATACTGTTAATGCCATTTTGGTGTTGTAGAAAAACTACCAAGAATCTTCTCTTTTTTTTGTCTGTTTCTAGAAAACGTGCACTATTTTGGCTGTTATTGGCTGTTCTATCATGACTTTGTACTACACTGTAGACCGCGTGGGGGGAAGAGAGAATGCTGGTTATAGGGTTGAAGTGTCCCTTCAGCGTCATTAATTACTGGGAGGTAGGGGGTGTTGTAGCCTTGGCGATCATGGTAGTGCAACCCTATTCACCATTTACTGCCATGTATCAAAGAAGTTTCATTCCAGAAATGCATTGAGAAGTGTGTGTTTGTGTGTCCGTGTGTACCCAGGCCTGCACGCGTGTTCAACGTGCACCTGCCCGCAATACCACTTTGAGATTAACTGCCTTCTATTTTTAAAGAAAATGTAGCAAGTGGGGCAAAGGTTTTGGCTTACTCTCAGATGGAAAGACATTAAAACCAAAAAAAAAAATCTAACAAAGATTTAAGCAAAGGACGAAATCTTAAATTTGCCTCTAACGTAAAGAGACAGAAATCTGTACCTCAAATTGCTGTAGGCAGTAGGTTTCTAATGCTGTTGCTGTGATGGTTTAGCATTCACTATTTCAACTGAAACTAAAACCTTTGTGCCTGATAATGATTTATTGAGTAAAGTAGCAGTGCCAGGACGATTATAAAATCCTGATGCTGAGTTGTGAATGTGAAGTAAATTAGACTAAATAAAAATTCATACCTTTCCACAGCGAACTTCAGGTGGTTTTCTTTTGCTTCCTCTAACCAAAAAAATAGGGTGTGTGTGTTTGTTTTTTCCAAGAAAAGCAGGGACACTGCTGTAGAAAGATTAATAAAAAAACAGGATGTGCAAATCATCTTAATTTCTCACTACATTCCATTACGGTGTCTGCTGTTTGTACGGTAAGCAGAACTCATGGTATCAGGAAAACTTACTCAGTATGAGAATGAAGACAAACCCACAGGATTTTGGTGTCTTAAAAGAGACCCCATCTTTTTGGTTCCATTTCAATGTACTGACTTAGTTCTGTATGAGAAAACACATCCATTTCTGTGGGGAAAGCTGACTGTAATGAATGACGTTATACTGCAAGCGAGGGCCGTGATCCTGGCACTCAGTGAGACTGAACCAGCAGAGCTATTCCCCCTTGATACAGACAATACAGACAGTCACAAGAGAAGGAGCTGTTAAATAAACTATCCTTTCATAGACAGCAGCACATTAAAAAAGTTGTGCGTTGTCATTTCCCAGCTGTATCCTTTTTTATATTAAAGTGAAACACTGCAATACATAATGCGAAGTGGGGAGGGTTAGAGACCCACACTGTGGGTCTGGCAGCCCTGGAAAGGTGCTAAATTTGCGCCTTTCAAGGAGCCTCATGCAACATAATGATCTCGGGCTACACAGACAACATGGAAAAGATCAGGACTTGATGCACCACATTTTTTATTGTGGAGGATGTTCTCAGCTGGTACCATGCGACTGCAGCTGTTTTGGGCAGACCCCTAGATCACCTTTCATCGAGTGAGTTAGGAACTGTGTATGGCAGAGAAAGGCTTTGTTCTGAACACAGTGTGACAGGCAGGACTGACAGTCATACTGAGTCTTCTCACACTATTCCTAAGAATGTTTTGTGCTAAGAATAACAACAGTAATGTGCCAAGAAACCAGAATTTTAGAATAAACTACTTTTAATAAGCAGCACCCTGTAGTGTCTGTCATACCAGCTCCTTTAAAACCCCCACGTTACCCGTGTGATGAGGACTTCCAGTGTCAGCTGAGGCGCTGACTCTTGCCTCCAACAGCCTGGACGTGACAAACTTCCACTGCAGCACCCAGCTTCTTCAGCTCGCTCAGCCACAGGATCTGCTTGTGGGACAGGCGATCGTTGGGACCCTTCACTTCCACCAGCTGCAAAGAAATGCAGATGATCAGCAGTGGGGCTGTGGAGGAACTCAAAGATCATGGCTCCCACAGACTAGTACAAGTGTTCTGTTATGGCTGTTATTAGCAACAAAAATAATACAGATTCAGCACAACGGAAGGCCCAGTGAGTGCTAAGTTAATAATCCATGTTCCGAAGTGTAACTGTGAGAGAATGAAATTTTATGCAGTAAATACCCACAAAAAACACAGAGGCAGTGGGGAATGAAGCTACCACATACTCAAAAATCAATCATCAGCTGCAACCTCTCCTGTTCCAGCTCTTACTCAGATGTTCTAGAGAACTAATTTCTGTTATTCAGCTGTGTTTTATAAACGCGTAACAAGTTGCTCCAGCAGCTGAGATGGCCAATGGTGTTCTAGTACCTATTCCAGTATCATGCAGGACACAAACCATGGCTGCCGCCTCTGTTTTTGTGGCAGAGACAGAGATAACTGTTGTAGTCTCATCTATTCAAGTTTTGTGTAAGCAGTTGGCACCCCTTGCTAACAGTCAGAATGTGTATGGCTGACTGGTGACAGTTGCTTTACAGTAATTTTAACTGAAGACCTATTCCTCAACAATGCCTAGCCTTGCTCTTTCTTACTATGTCCATTAAAGCTACAGCAGAATGTGATGAAATAGCAGATAAACCACCACCCACTAGTTGCTATACTGGCTGGTCAGGTGAGCAGCAGGTGTAACCACCACAACAGGCTGACAATGGGAAGGTTTTATACCTAAGGGTAAGATCAGCTGAGCACTGAGTATTTCAGATCTTCCAAAATACCTTAAAGTCATTAGTGTGAGTACGCCACACAACCAGGTCAGGAAGTCCCCCTCTGCAATGGCGCAGATCTTTGGAAAGTCGCCTAAAAACACCGCTCAGAAACATTCCTCCAAGACAAGAGACAAGGCTCTGGAAGAGAAGTTTTGACAGTTGTTTGTTGGGTTTGTTTTTTTTAAATTTCCTGTACAGTCACTTCCCAGCTCTCACAAGAATATTCTATGGCCCATCTCAGCTTTTTGTTTAGTCACATGTAACAAGAAATTTACACAGATGTTAACCCACAGCAACTTCTCTGCCGTGTGTCCAACTACTGCTGCAGGAAAAGTGACCATATCAGCAGAGAGTAACAGTACTTGGGATCAGGGAGAATAGCACTGAAATTCCTCAGCACTATTCCTGCTTCCCACCACCCATCATCAGTCCTGGCTCAGCCCCTCGGCACAGACTGTGAGCCCCTGACTGCAGTGTGTGATTTAACAGCAAGGCTAATTAAACAGCGTGCCCCCTCTGGACAACAGTTACTTACCTGAGCTTGCTGGAGGGAAATGAACCGCCCCCAGGTAACCAGTGCTGCTGCTTTTCCCTCCTGAGCCGTCCAGACGTCAGCGATCAACTTTGCCAGTGTCTCTGAGGAAGCTGTATGGAGCTGCTGGAGTCTGGCCTCAATGGCATCCCTCCTGTTCTCATAGAAGCTGTCAGTGTATAAATCCAGGGGGCACGTCTGCATAGAAAGGTAAATACAGCTCTGAGGAGCTGCCAGTCAAGCAATGACAATGCCTTTCTTTACAGTGTTCTTTTCTCAACTATGAATTCAGTCAAATGGTCAGTTGATTTAACATGAGCATGTCCACCACGTAAACCTCTATTAAACCGCGGTTCCAAGAATAACAATGCCTTTCTTTATATTGTTCTTTTCTCAACTATGAATTCAAATAGTCAGTTGATTTAACGTGGGCATGTCCACCACGTAAACCTCTATTAAACCGGAAAAGATTTGCACACATTTTAACACCCAACACCAGTGCAACAAATGCTGGCCACATCCTGGCCTGCGAGCTGTTGTTTTTTTACCTACAGACAGAGGTTTCCTTTAACAGACAAGAAAGATCTACCTGCTCTCCTGTCTCCCCGAGCAGTAATATCCTAGTCAGGATCTGGAATGAGAAGCGAGACTGCTCAGCCGCAGTGAGCTCAGTGAGCAGGGTGAGCTGGGCAGCACAGAGCAGTGACGGAGCTGGGGAGCATCACACAGACACCTGAGAGCAGAGAGCCTCATGCACAGCTGAATGCAATTACCCCATTTTGACCACTGCTGACAAAGGCTATCCACTAACAGCTGAGTGCCATTTGAGCCTTTCAAAAGCAAACGCAGAGCACTTAGAAAACAGCAAATTTCAGCCTTACACCAGTTGCTGCCACAGCTAATCCCACAAAAATACAGCCTAGGAATGGCTGAGAGAATCAGGTGTGAGCGTTCAGCTCCTCATTGCTCATGCCTGAGGCTCATGATAGCATTGATCTGCATTAATAAGTAAAACCTAGCTTTTAAAAAAATAAATTTGCAAATGAGCCATAAATACTTGGCTTGTTCTAAACATATAAACCTACAAGGTTTTTTATTTTTTTTCAAGTAAGTGTCATCTGCATATAAGATTATATATTTAGAAAGGAAAGATCTACAGTAAATGGCATTTTGCACTGACAAATACCTGCTTTCAACACATGACATTCATACAAGTAAGGCCTCTTACAAGAATAGCAGATGCTCCACAAGAAGAGCTACTTGTATGACTTCCATCTATCAGTATTTGTACTTCAGAGCTACAGCAGTCCCCTTCCTGTCCTGGCCACGAGCCTGCTAGTGCCTTCCTGTCCCACCTCAAAATGCTAAAGCAAGAAGGACAACCACTTCTCAGTTCTTTGTGCAAACAGTATTCAACCCTAAATTTTCTTCAATTTCTTCTTTCTACAAGAATCAAGTAGTAAAAGCCGTTTCAAAGAACAACCATTGCTCTGTAGTGAGCTGCCTCCTTTCATCACTGAGTAGCTCCCCAAGGAGATGACCAAGGACATAATTATACTCAAATGCTTATGGCTTAAGAAATTCTTTCAAGACATGATTGTATACAGTCATATAATCCATGTCAGCATAAAATAATAGGTTAAAATTCAGATTCGTGGGACAGAGAGCAATGCATGTATTCATAGCTTTGAGTTTAGTCCTATTAGCCTAATAAAATAATTGTACTGTTCAGTTTTCTAGATTTTCACACCCTTCGTAATGATGGCCTTGAGGGAATGTATCTCTCTCGCCACCAATTAAAAAAAGCTATTTGTAGTGGTCACTAATTAGGGAGAAAACCATCTCCAAAACCACCAGGTGGTTTTTGAATTGGCCACAGGATTTCTACTACATACTGGTGAAGAAAAATAAAGGGGGGGTGGGAGGGAGAGAAGAAAACCCTGCATGTTTCACCTCTAAAATAAGAAGAAATTTCTACCTAAGATATCTCACTCTGCTATAAACCTATAATTTCTTACAGTACAAATAAATCCAGTTAAGGAAGGGGATGCTACTAGCTGGTTTGCCTTTTGGCCAGGGTTCCAACTAGAAGCAATGGGTTAAGATGGAAGAAAGATGACAATTGTCTGGCCTTATTTAGTTCTAAAACATTGAGATGGCTTTTCAGGGTTTTCTTAGCAAATGTCACTAAGTGATGAAGTTTTCTAATCACAATTATTAAAACTGTTTCTATCTGTAATTTGTAGGAAGTAAAGCACTTGGCTAAAAGCCACAACTTCACCTGGAATCATTAATCTCAGGGTGTGGCAGGGAGTTGTTGTGGGGGGTGTAGTTTTGCTTGTTGCGTTGACAAAAAGGAAGGATGATCCCAAAAGGATAAACATGTCGAGGTGGAGCAGGTGGGGGGTGTTAACAAACATGAGTTTAAAAATATGACTTCCATTTAAAGGTTACTGAAAAGAAACAGACTCTTTTTTTTTTTTTTTAAAAATGTATC